AGTTGACTTGACAAATCAGATGTGAACAAAATCTGAATTCCACCTATGTAGTTTAAGAGGCCTGCCATATAATCCATTCAAACTGCATCAATCAGGTAGACCCTCGCTGATAAAGGCGCTCACATATGCAGTGCATCCAGAAAGTATTCACAGTGCTTAACGTTTGCCACATTTTGTTATGTTACAGCCTTATTCCAAAATGGATTAAATTAATTTTTTTCTTCAACATTCTACAAACAATACCCCATAATGACAATGTGAAAGAAGTTAATTTTGAAATCCTCGCAATTTATTAAAAAAAAAAAAAAAATTACAGCACCAATTACAGCCTCAAGTCGTTTGGGAGATGATGCTACAAGCTTGCCAAACCTATTTTCTGGCAATTTCTCCCAGATCTCTCCAGAGATGTTCAATCAGGTTCAAGTCTGGGCTCTGGCTGGGCCACTCCAGGACATTCACAGAGTGGGCCCATAGCCACTCCTTTGTTATGTGGGCTGTGTGCTTAGGGTCGTTGTCTTGTTGAAAGATAAACCGTCGCCCCAGTCTAAGGTCCAGAACGCTCTAACAGGTTTTCATCAAGGATGTCTCTGTACATTGCTGCATTCATCTTTTCTTTGATCCTCACTAGTCTCCCAGTTCCTGCCACTGAAAAACATCTCCACAGCATGATGCTGCCACCACCATGCTTCACTGTAGGAATTGTATTAACCAGGTGGTGAGCAGTGCCTGGCCTGAGTGCCAAGCGTCATGTCTGGAGGAAACCAAAGAGTTCAATCTGTGTTTCATCAGACCAGAAAGTTTTGTTTCTCATGGTCTGAGAGTCCCTCAGGTGACTTTTCGCATGCAATTTGCCTTTTACAGAGGAGTGGCTTCTATATGGCCACTCTTCCATACAGGCCTGATTGGTGGAGTGCTGCAGAGATGATTGTTCTTCTGGAAGGTTCTCCTCTCTCCACAGAGAAATGCTGTAGCTCTTTCAGAGTGACCATCGGGTGCTTGGTTACCTCCCTGGCTAAGGCCCTTCTCCCTCGATCACTCATTTTGGCTGGGTGGCCCGCTCTAGGAAGATTCCTGGTGTTTCCAAACGTCTTCCATTTACAGGTAATGGAGGCAACTGTGCTCAGTGGGACCTTCAATGCAGCAAAACTTTTCTGTACCCTTCCCCAGATCTGTGCCTTGACACAATCCTGTCTCTGAGGTCTACAGACAATTCCTTGGACTTCATGGCTTGGTTTGTGCTCTGACATACACTAACTGTGGGACCTTATATAGACAGGTTTATGCCTTTCCTAATTCATGTCCAATTAACTGAATTTCCCACAGGTGGACTCCAATCAAGTTGTGGAAACATCTCAAGAATGATCAGTGGGAACAGGATGCACCAGAATTAAATTTTGAGTGTCATGGCAAAGGCTGTGAATACTTCTGTAAATGTAGGTTGTTTTTTATTCGTAATAAATTGCAAAGATTTCAAAACAAGCGTCTTTCACGTTGTCATTATGGGGTATTTGTAGAATGTTGTAGAAAAAAAAATGAATTTAACCCATTTTGGAATAAGGCTGTAACATAACAGAATGTGGCAAAAGTTAAGCGCTATGAATACTTTCTGGATGCAATGTACATAATAGTGCCCACCCTGAAAATGTACAATGTGTTATACAGTACACTATGTATTTAGTGAGCAGATCATTCTTACACGCCAAAACAGTCTATAAGCTTTCTACATTTAAAACGTGTGTAAAGCAAGTGTTAAAAAAAAAAATAAAAATAAAAAATAACCAATTCCACAGAAAAAGAAAAATCACAGCATTTACCTGTGACGTGAAGTCATGTTGTTGTAGCTGTCGTCCTTCACGCAAGTCCCAGGATCGCACTGTGTTGTCCAAACCTCCTGTCCAGAGTTTGGTACCATCATTTGAAATGTCAATACAGCTGGCTCCATCTGTGTGGCCCTGGAATTGCCTGATAAGACAAACAAGATTGAATAATGATTTCCTGCCAGTACTCAAGGTAAACACTGCTGCGTTGTTAGCTTTGGACTTTCCCTACATGTGTCATCTCTTGTAAATCTAGTGAAATGGAACAACGCTTCTTTTTCTTACAGATTTAAAATACACCCACAAGCTCTTAAACAGCAGGTATGGCTATGGTTAATTCAAATGGCCAGCAATATCAAGCTTCTGACAAAAGGCTTTAGCCATCAAGCCTGCAATAACATGCCTCACAGAACCAAAAGTAGGGGAGAAAAAAAAAAATCAACCATTATCAAGAGTTTATGCAATCCCACCAGACCAATGAAACAAATTACTAGTGATAATTATGTGTCAATCAAATGGTTTATTAGGCTGAAAACTAACAGTTACACAGTATTAGCACACACTGAAAAGATTACGAGATGCTGTGTGTGTTTGATGCGAGGTGACCATATTAAAAGAGAATAGTTTGGTTTAACTGGGTAGGAGTTGCAAAATATGATGCATGGCAACAATGAATTCAGATCTTATGTTAATTTTATAATCCTCTTCCGAGCAGCACTTCTGGAAATATTAAGTCTAATGCATATGTGCCTGTGCCACCTGCAATTCATAGAAAGACTAGTATGTATGCTTATGAGAAGATCTTCTTAAAAAGCCAGCTGCCTGTCCTCCACTGGTTTTAATACACTGAGTACTGACACGGAATAAACAAGCAACAGTCCAAACTCCTGATCTGCATTTTTGGTACGGGGAGTATTGATATTGTTGAATTTAACTAATGGCCTGTCAAGCAGTTTTTCAGAAGAAGGGGTCCGCAATGGCAGCCAACAGATGCCTTCAGTACAGGTTTCTTTTACTATGCTACTCATCTACCATGCACCACAGAAAAGTATTGCCTGTGAAAATCTATGACTGAAACCACAGAGGAGCTGTTCATAGAGGTTAAGGATTGCTAAGGGTTGTATACACTTCTAATTACACAATCAGTAGCCTGAAAAAGAGGCGGCATGGTTTTTTTTTGTAATCAACCACTTTACCCCCCCCCTTCATGACCAGGCCATATTCTGCGATACAGTGCTGCGTTACTTTAACTGACAATTGCGCGGTCATGCACAAGGGCAGCACAGTAGCTAAATAATTAGCACTTCCGCCTGGCAGTACTAGGGTCATTGGTTCAAATCCCAGCCACAACACCACCTGCCTGGAGTTTGCATGTTCTCCCTGTGCCTGCGTGGGTTTCCTCCGGGTACTCCGGTTTCCTCCCACACTCCAAAGACATGCTGGTAGGTTAATCGGAACCGGTCTATAATTGGCCCTAGTATGTGTATGTATGAATGTAAGTTAGGGACCTTAGATTGCACGCCCCTTGAGGGTTAGGGACTGATGTGAATGTACAATATATATATATATATATATATATATGTGTGTGTGTAAAGCGCTGCGTAAATTGACGGCGCTATACAAGTACCTGAAATAAATAAATAATGCAAAACTGTACATAAATGAAATTTATGTCTTTTTCCCCCCACAAGCAGAGCTTTTTTTTTAGTGATATTGGATCACCTTTTTGTGCTATAAATGATAAAATACTGACCTTTTCATAAAAAAAAAAACCCCAAAAACATTTTTTTTTTTTTACTTTCTGCAATTAAAAGCATATCGAATTCAAAAAAAAATAAATTAAAAATTAAAATTTCTTCATATATAATTAGGCCAAAACATTCTGCTACAAATTTTTGGTAAAAAAAAAAATCCCAATAAGTGTATGTTGATTGGTTTGCGCAAAAGTTATAGCATCTGCCAATGGCGGTATAAATACTGGAACTTTTTTAATACTAGTAACGGCGGTGATCAGCGACTTATAGCGGATCTGTGATACGGCCGCAGACAGTCTGACACGGTCACTGTATTAATGGCACTGGCTGGAAAGGGGTTAAACATCTAGGGCGATCAAAGGGTTAATTGTGTGCACTGTGTACTATTTTCACTAGGCTCTCTGCTAGATTTTATTCCTTGGATAAAACCTAGCAGATTGGCATTGACATAACACAGCTCTGCCTTGTTTACATAGACAGAGCTGGGTTATGTCAGTCTCCTCAGCGATCAACAGGTGCCAGCGCTCATCCATTGGCCAGCTTCTGCTGCATCCATTAATCGACTACTTCGGTTGTATCCAATTAAAATCCATTGATCGGCTTCTGCTGTGTCCAATTAGTGGTGGAAGTGCAAAATCACGTTTATATATGTGATTTTGCATAGAACGTCTGCCCTGTAGCAGTAAATTTGCTATAGGGTGGATGGCAAGTGGTTAATCCATTAACCGTATTTTTAGAACATAAACAATGACTAGCACACAGTATTTGACCTACAGCCCTTGAACACTGACTTTTAGATCAGTCCTTACAGAATAATGCTTCTGCTCTGCTACCTATACTTTTCAACAACAGGTCTTCAACGTGTATAGTCAGGGAGGGCTGCAGCACTGCTAATATAAATGCAGGCTGTCAATGCAGACATCGCCAGAACATGGTGGGTCAATGCATTTATACACCAGAAATGCCCTTCATTATGGAAATCTGAATGTCTAAAGAATTTGCACAAATGTGAACGTTTATTTGCAGTCATATGGCATACGTAGCCGATTCATAACATTTTAAATGGATAAAAACAATTGCAGGAAGGCCATGCCAAAAGGACACTGGCTGTGCTTGCTTAAAATTACATCTGAAGGTTGGGAGGAGAATTATCAGAGTCCCAAATCTGTCATGTGCCTGCCAAACTGCCTGTAAAGCCTTGTGGATTTATTCCAGTCAGAATAGTTTGCTGGCCTTCTACACAGGCAGGGTTGCCAACCTAATAGGATTCAAAAGATGTGCGCTACATACAACCTAGCTCTAAGAGCAATTAAATAAAAATCCGTGCTAAGCCTTGTTTAACCCTTTTGGCATTCACTGCTGGTATTAGGAAATTCCAACTGCCAGGGTCATGGAACATAAAATACTAAAGGTCAGTTCCCAAGAACATGGTGTCAGCATTCCTATCCTATAAAATTATATTACTCTCTAGCAAGGCTATCCAAATATATCTGTCAATTTTTAAAGATTAATCTGGCTTCTGGGCTAACTTACTACCAACAACAATTGCCTAAGCTCCTCCTGAAGACAGAAAAACCTGAAATATACAATAGTGCAAATATATACTGAATTTAAACAACTAATAAAGTAAGGCCTAAACTGGGCTCACTTTATGACCCAAAATATCCTGCCTTTGGAAACCTGTTACTACAAGCACTGGGTGACATTTACATGATTATTCAATCCGCAAAACCAGTAACCTTTGTCAGTACAGGTGACAGGTTCAATTTCTTTCATAAGTTAATGGACATCTTGCATTCTCAGTGTTAAAAGGTTATGTCACAAGTAAAGCTGAATCAATGAAATGACTGTTCATGGTCCAAAATAGTTGCTTTAAAATCATTGAAACCGTTGCACTTGCATACAAAAGGTATAAGATTTAAAAATTACATTTCAATTTGACCCATAAGTAGAACAAAATTAATAGCCCAAAGATGCCTCGAGACAGTTAAAGATCTATCACATATTTTGTTATAGTTCTGTATCCTATTGGGCAAAGTACACATAGCACTTTGTTACATGTTGCCAAGTGCTTTCTAACCCCAGTTATTCAGTCCAACCTGCCCATCTTCTCCTCCTGATCTGACAACAACTCTGAGGGAGACAGCAGAATCATAACGGATGCTTGTCTTGGCTGTGAACACTTTCAACAGACAAGCGGTCGCAAAAGGAATTCAAATAGTATGGGCAGCACAGTGGCTAAATGGTTAGCACTTCCGCCTGGCAGTACTAGGGTCGTTGGTTCGAATCCCACGGCACCACCTGCCTGGAGTTTGCATGTTCTCCTTGTACCTGTGTGGGTTTCCTCCCACACTCCAAAGACATGCTGATAGGTAAGGTTAATTGGATCCTGTCTAAATTGGCCTTAATATGTGTATGTATGAATGTGAGTTAGGGACCTTAGATTGTACACCCCTTGAGGGTTAGGGACTGATGTGAATGTACTATATATATATATATATATATATATATATATATATATAAAAAAAAGCTGCGTAAATGGACGGTGCTATATAAGTACCTGATACAACAAATGAAACAGAGGAGGGAAAAAGCCAGGTTATGGATTCCTTTTGCTACTGCTTGTCTGAAAAGTGTCCACAATCAATACATGTGGCAGCAGTTGTTACAGCTGTTGTTAAATTGGCAGCTGCAGGAGGGAAGGGGAGCAGGCTCAAACTTCATAGCTAAGGTTAGAAAACAATTAGCAAAATGGTACAAAGTAATACATTTACCTTTCACCCACAGAAATCTAACAGATCTTCTAGCACAGTGTTTGCTTCCATTTTGATAGATATGAATATTCCGAAAGAAATCTCTGTAGGAGAGAAGAGGTCTATCGCCTGTCAGTGTCCAATCACCTTAAGGTACCAGCCTATAATCCAGGGTCTATGAATATTCAATTCATGTACTGTATTGTACAAGTTACGCCACCTTCTATACAGCAAACATAAAACATTCCTACAGACAGGTCTGTTACACTGCAATCTGGAAGACAGCATTCATCCATGTACGTAAAGACGGTCAGAACAAGAACACATCAGTATTTAATGTCAATTTACAGTGTCTGCTTCATTACAAATTGGTGTGGAGGTCTTTCTCCAAACCCATCAATGAAATAAACTACTTTTCATCAGGAAAAAATAATGCTAAATACTTTGACACATACCTTACAAGAGTCTGATTATGTAAGTCCCACACTGCAATGTTGCCATCACTACAGCAGGAGAAGCAGACCTTGGAGTCAGGGCTGATAGCCAGAGCATAGCAAGCAGGAGCAGATGATGTCAGCTCTGCTTTTATACGCGGGGTGGGAGCTGCCAGGTCCCATATGGATAACGTGCTGGCTTCCCCTCCGACAATGAGAGTACATCCATCAGGGAGTAATTTACAGGATCTAATATAGTTATCTCTGTTCTAAAAAGAGAAGACAAACACTTTATTACTCTAGGTACACAGCTATGACTATTTCAACAGCATTAAAATGTTCCATTGCTTATTTATACTAAGTATGTTGTGGAACCCATCATGTTTACTGAACTACAGTTTAAAGTGTTTCTATGGTCAAAATGTAAAATCATATTAATTTCCACATTTAACTTCAATTATTCCTAGCCTACGCCTATAAAACTGAAAGACTGACATTTGTAAAATAATTTGTGAAGATACGCACGCTTCTCTGAACTCTTAACACATATCCATTGTGATTTTTGAGTAGGCACTGTTGTGTCACACATTTCATACAATCTGCCTTTTGAACTACAGAGGTGCTGTGAGGAGGAGTTTTCAGGAGGCAGAGTCAGAAAAAGAATCACTGCTTGCAGGCAGCAAGGTACCATGGGATATGTAGTCCTTAGAAATCAAATGTAAAACCACAGAATGGAAGCTGCAAAGCATTCCAGAAATCCAAAAATTTGTGGAAACAGATAATCAGCAGACCAGCAGAACTCAAAACACAAAAGGATATTTTTCACATGAGCTTATGCTGGATTGTAAAAAAATTGTATTGCTAATACAATGTTCGTGCTTAAGATGATGAAAGTATGTAGTCATCATAGAATTCCTTTAAATGTAAGATAAATAGATTTCAGGCAGACAGATCTTCTCAAAGCACACAGAAAGCAAATATGACAACTCTAGATACTTGGAACCTGACACAAGGGTTTAAGTAAGCACAGGGAAAACATTTGCAGGAGTATGATGGGAGATCATCATGCCCTGGCAGTATTTCACTAGAAACATTTCCAGCCTATTACAATTCCACAAAGATCCTCAAGTGCTAGGCTGCAGCCATGTTACAGTTCCAGAGGCAAAAGGAAAAACCTATAAATTATAATATCATAGCTATGCAACAATTATGAGCCTCTTTGGGGGGAGGGGAAGATGACGATTCTTTTCAGTATTTATAATTCTACTGTCATTATTAACAGTACAACAGTATTTGCACAGGTACGGTCCTTCAAATTAATAACAAAAGCAGTCTGTATGTGAATGGCTGTAGAAGCCTAGGTAAACACTCATCATAGCAACGTTAAGTCCTTAGATTATTTCTCATAACCGTCAACCAACAATTTTTTAACCACCTACTTGGCAAACATGTAAAGTAAACATGCATACACAACTGAGATGACTGTGTTGTATGAGTATGATGTCTCCTGAACGTAGAGCTCAGGTAATACACAGTTTTAGATTATAATGGTAAACATATTGAAGACTGTAGCAATAACTGTCAGTAAAGTGATTAGCATTCACATTACGTGTGCTTTTAAATGAAACATTATGTAAAGACATAAAAAAAAAAAAAAAAAAAAAAACACTGCTGAATAGTGTACATGCACATTAAAGAGTCCGTTCACACAAAAGTTAGATATCTGTATCAGGTGGGCATGAGGAGTCAACTTAGGCGGTTTATCACAAGAGGACTTTGATGGCAGGATCTCTCTACCACAGTTACTAGCTCCTCTCCCTTAGATTATTATTCAAGATTTATTATTATAATACGGGACTTCTATATAGAGTCAACAGTTTGTGCAGCACTTTACAATATAAAAAGGAAGACCGTACAGCTACAGAACAACCAAAACAAAAGGATTAAGAGGGCCCTACTCATAACAGCTTACAATCTAAAAGGGTGGAGCAAGTGGTACAAAAGGTTAACTGTGGGGGATGCTGGGATGGAAGTGAAAAATGTCTATTCTGAGGTGTGAAAGGCTTCCCTGAAGAAATTAGTTCAAGGTATTCCAATCCACCTCTTGGTTTTCCCAGTTTTCCTTTATATTCTGCATAACAGAATAAACATACAACAGGGGTAGTGCAACCCATTCATAAAGAGTGCGGATGTGCAAACCTAGCAACTCAAAAGATATTTAAAAAAAAAAAAAAAAAAAAAAAAGTGTAAAAATGGTTTAGTAGTTTAAATCCCCAGCAACTAAATAAAGCTGGAAAAACCCCCGCAAACACTTAAACTGCTTATTAAAGCAAATTTGTTTTTTGGGCTGTATTTGAGACAACTAAAGAATAGAAAGACATTTCTTTGTAGAGTCTCCAAGGACCCTAGAAGACAAGTTTCTGTACACTTACCAAGCAGTCCAGCTGAGAAACAGGGCTTTTGTTGCCAGGTTGGCTGATGTCCCAGACCTTGACACATCCCTTTCCACCAGTGTAAACGTGTCTTGTGGGGTTGCTGATGGTTACCGCACAGACCACTTCCCCATGATTTAGTGTGTTTATCTGGCGTGCATGCCGAGGGATTCCTTGGCCAATCAGAGCATCAGGAGGGAATGGGACCGGCTGCATCTGGCCATCTGCAGTTACATGGAACGAGTAAGCCCTAAGAGTAAGGGAAAAGGGGCAGGAAGAAAAAAAAAAAATAAAAAAAAAAAAATCAATAAATCAGTAATTCGTGTTGCAATTAACACTTACACAATTTCATGTTGAAAAAAAATATATATTTTCTTTAAAGACCACATTAATTCCATGATGCCTTTTAGGTGAAAGAACAAAAACATATATAGGCTGCTATGCAACCTTTACAAAGCAAAAATGCATTAAGAATTACATATGGTTTCTGATTTGGCTTGAGATACAGAACACATTTAGAGGTAGAAACTATCAATGTTGGAGCATTTTCTCTCTTGCTACATACTACTCCTGTCGACTAAACAACTTAAGTCAGAACACATCTGTGCTTCCACTTATTGTAAAACATACTTCAATCTGTGACACTGCAAGCACTCTCTACAGGGAAAATGATTTATAATATTTATACTTCAGCAACGATCAGTGCAAAAACAGTGTGGTTCTGAATGGAGTGATGTATGACTAGATTTACTTTAAAATACAATTTCAAAGCTACTTTAACAATAAGGAGCACATGACATACCTCAAAACACAGAATTATCAATTAAATTGCTCAGTGAGATTAACATTAAAATATTAAGCATCATCTGCTGCCTTGATTAGGTTTGTCACTTTTAAACTCAGCGATGCCAAATCAAAATTATGTACTAATGCAAGTAATATTCAGGCACCTTTCACAGTTTGTGAGGCGGATGCGACTGGAAACTCCATGTTAGTCTATGGGTGGCTGTTTACATCCAATTGCTTCCAAGCCTGACCAGGTCTGGGAAAAAAGTGGAAAAGGTCTGTGTCCTTTTCTGTTTATTCAGACCCCAACACCTCTTATCAGAGGTAATCAGATATAAACAGATACAACACAGATGCAAGGGGAGGGTGGCCTGTGTCCCATACACCAAGATCAATAATTACTTTTATCTTAACCACTTAAGAGCAGCCCCATAGAAGATATACTGCTACAGCGTGACTCTGCTGTGCAAAATCATATCATATATATATATATATATATATATATATATATATATATATATATATATATATATATATATATATGATTTTGCAATTCCTGGGTAGGGGGTGTGCGCGCGAGCGCACCACCCTACTCGCGCCGCTATTGGCTGCTGGGTATGTCAATCACCAGGTCCCAGCCAGCAATCCACAGCCAGGACTCGATCATCGGCAGGGCTGAGAGAAAAGAGATCTGTGAGAGGAGAGATCTCCTGTCAGCATGGACATGCTTCTATGTATCTCTCTGAACAGCAGAGAGATACAAAGCAGCATGTCTCCCAAGTAAAACAGCACACTGTTAACCCTTTGATTGCCCCAGATGTTAACCCCTTCCTGTCCAGTGTCATTAGTACAATGTCAATGCTTTTTATTAGCACTGATCACTGTATTAGTGTCAGTGGAGATGTCAGTGGCAGTTAGTCAGTTCCCATTGCAGTCCTGCTATAAGTCACTGATCGCAACCATTACTAGCAAAAAAAAAAATAAAAAAAAAATCACATACATACATACATACATACACACACACACACACACACACACACACACACACACACACACACACCGCCATTTGTAGATGCTATAACTCACGTAAACCAATATAAACCTATTGGGTTGTTTTGGTTTTTTTTTTTCCACCAAAGACATGGAGCAGAATACATTTTATGAATAATTTTTTTTTATTATTTAATTTTTATTTATTGGATACGTTTTATAGCAAAAAGTAAAAAATGTTTTTTTGTTTATAGCACAAAAAATAAAAAATTCAGAGGTGATCAAATACCACTGAAAGAAAGCTCTATTTGTGGGGGAAAAAAAAAGACAAATTTAATTTGGGCGCAGCATTACATGACCATGCAATTATCAGTTAAAGTAACGCAGCGCCGTATCGCAAAAAATGGCCTGGTGCAACAAGAGGTAGATTTACTAAAACTGGAGCACTCAGAATCTAGGGCAGCTGTGCATAGTAGCCAATCAGCTTTTAAATTCAGCTTGTTCAATCATGCTTTGACAATAAATCTGGAAGCGGATTTGTTTCTATGCACAGCTGCACCAGATTTTTCACTCACAAGTTTTAGTAAATCTCCCTCCAAGTGTCAACAGACCTGACTTCGAGTGCTGCTGCAAGAACCTTGTGGCTGAACGAAGCATCCACCAAAAACTAGAAAAGGTATGGACAGAAGACCAGATGGCAACCTTCCAAAGCCGGGCAAGAGATTTGATGTCTGAATGCACAGGAAACTCCTACTGACCTGGTGGAGTGAGCAGGCGTTAGTGCAGGTGGTGCTTTTTCTTTCAGCCTAAGCTCTTAAGGAGTCACCTAATCCAACTAGCAATGATGGATATTGAAGCAGGATGTCCCTTGCAAGGTCCTGAGTGTAAGAAAAATATGGAGGCTCTCTTCCTAATAGAAGCTGTAGCGTTAAAGGTACACTATGATCGCTCTGGCCACATCCAATCAGTAAAGAGCAATCTCCTTAGGGTGTTTAGAATCAGGGAACAAGGGAGGAAGGACTAACTTCATTGAGGTGGAAGGCTGACAACACCCTAGGAAGAAAAGACAACTTTGTCCTGGTGAAGAATGAAAACGGCCTCCTTACAAAAAAGAGACAAGTCTGACTGATGTGATAGCCACCAAGGAGTCAGTGGTCCAGAGACATTTATCTCGGTTTAAAGATTAGGCCTAGGATAAGGCAAACCCACCATCTGGTTATGGTACTGTGAACAGGTTTGAATAGAAACCTTTTGAACCCGTGATCCCAGAGGTACAGCAATGACCACTTGCTGAAACATAAGATGGTTCAGGGGCAGTAAACAAAATCTAACGGTTCTTAAGCAGATTTTGGTTGGTTTGAGATAAGAAATTGGCGAGGGAGTGAGTTTAAAACTATTTTATACCCCTTTGAAACAAGTGATTGAACCCACAAGTCTGCAACATCTGTGACACAAATAAAGAAACAGATGTTCCGCCCACTCTTAGAAGAAGTGAGGGCACCCCTTTATTGGGAAGAAGGCTTTGGGGTAGACTAGGTGCATTTTGTTTTCCAAATCTCGCGTTGAAAGGAAGGGCTGAATTTTGGCTAGGAATTTGAGGCCTAAGTAGAGCATTGAGGCATTCTTTTAGAGGAAGTAGATTTTCCTGAGGAAGGGGATTTTGGAACCTTCTGCTGTGGAAAAAAGGACCCTTCCTCCCGTGACATCTTTCCTAAAAATTATTCAAGTGTCTCAAAAGACACTTCCTCCTTCAAATACATGTGGGGCATCTTCTACGGGCAAGCTTTAGCATGTCCAGGCTTTCGGCCACAAGAGCCTGTGCATATGAACAGAATTTAGAGCCATTCTGGAGATTTGTGTCATTATTAGTTCTAGAGCACCAACACAAAAGAGCAAAGCAGAGGGTAATGTTTGTAAGTGCTCTGCCAAAGCATGGTCCTGAAGACAAGATCTTGGTTGTGCATTTCCCTATTTCAATTAGCTGCAGTTTGAAAATAAATTGCAGAAATGGTTGGTTGCAGATCTGCGAGAGTCAATAGAGCCTTAACAACTTGCCTACTGGGCACTTTTACCCACTTTGTGCCTGAGCCAATTTTCAGCTTTCAGTGCTGTTGAACTGTGAATGACAATTGCACGGTCATGCAACATTGTACCCATATGAAGTTTTTATCCTTTTTTTTCACACAAATAGAGCTTTCTTTTGGTGGTATTTAATTGCCACTGGGGTTTTTATTTTTTGCACTATAAAAAAAAAAAAAAAAAAAAGTTTTCTGTTTTTTTATAAAATTTTGCAAACAGGTTATTTTACTCCTTCACTCATGTGCAGACCAGGCTGCACAGATAGGCTGCAATGATGATGCGGCACTGATGGGTGGCACTTATGGGCACTGGTGATCAGGGCACTGATCATTAGTACCCTGATTATCAGTGCAGATCTGTTGTGACATTTGCTGGTTATTGGCAGTACTTTCCTCGTGCTGTGACAGCGTGAGGAAAGTGCTTCCGATAACTAGCAACTGTATTTACTTTGTGATCTGCTGTGTCACTGGACACAGCTGATCACATGGTAAAAGGCCGCTATGATTGGCCTTTTACCTTGTCCGTAGAACACAGCATTCACCGACAGCGCTGGGGGTGCGTTCTGGGAGAACTGGACAGCCGCGCTGTAGCCATCATTTGGCTATAGCGTGGTTGTTAAGTGGTTAAAGAACATCTCAAACTTTCTGTCAGCAGCATCTTTGAACGAAGGACCAATGTTAATGAGTACAACAAGATGCTGCTTTAGGACTGAGATGGCAGGGTCTGTACTGGAACAGTCCAATTTTTTGGGAGGGAGCCCTTTCCAATGGATAGAACTCGGTAATGATTCTCCCAGGGATGGAACGAGAAAATGAAGCAGAACGTTGGCTGCGGTTTTCCTAACAGTAACCCTACTGACAGATTAGTAAATCTACTGCTATATTTGGTGGTTCTGTCGGGTTGTTTGAACTGCATATACAGAAGAGGAGCAGCTTTTTAGAAGTCCATGTGTAATCTTGCATTTTTACATTGAAAATTAGTATGCACTAATGCTACACAATTTAGCTAAGCCACGTTTGAAACTTTCTCATTCCAACGGTAAGGTAGTCAACAATTTACATGGCAAAACAAGAAAATTAGCACAAGCATTAACTTATTTTGCACAAGTGAGAACCATATTGAAAGAAAAAAAAAAAAAAAAAAAAAAAAAAAAAAAAAAAAAAAAATTTCCCCCAAACAAAAAGCAATATAAAAACACATCCCTACAAATCTATGGGACAATGAAGGAGCTAGTATATTTCTTAATGCAGTATGCTTTGTATCAGATTGATGAATTGTTGACTATGTAGAATAGATAATACAGAAATTTCATAACACAATTATCCCATCAAACAATATGCCTTGCAAAAGCGAATAAATGATTACTTACGGCTTTCCTCCAGGGATTCCAGCTAAATTTGGAGGTATTCCTGGTACTCTCATATGAGGAGGAGGATCAAAACCAACCTGTTGATATTCAAAGGAAACCCAAAATTCAGTGAAAGTGAAGTTAAAGTGAGAAAGAACAAATGAGATCAGGTGTGCAATCATCTTGTATTCCTTAACATATAGTTTCATAGTTTGGCACTCACCATAGGAGATCGCCCATAGGCCACAACAGCAGCTGCAGCAGCAGCAGCGCTCATCTGTGGGGACATATTGTGCAAACTAGCATAGGCAGCTCCAGGACTGGTAAGCTCACCATTCATACCCGCATGTGGAACCATTCCAAAGGGAGCAGCATAAGGGCCCGGAACTGCTAGTGGAGTCCTCAAACCCGCAGCAGCTGTTTATCAAAATAAAGAAAACATGCAAAGTACTGTGACATTCTTTAAGAACCTTTCATAGTTTAAAAAGGGATGCAGCCAAATTAATCAGTCCAATTGACATATTTACATTTAACAGACATTACCAACCGCATAATTAGATAATTGTATTCCTAATTCTCAGGAAAAAATAACCATGTGCAGGTCAAAGCTCTAAACGGCTGATTGTTCTATCCATTCAATATGGTTCAAAAGAAAAAGGAAAAAACAAACAAAAACAAAAAACACATACAACAAAAAAAGGACCTGCCAAGAATGGCATCTTCTGATAAAAAAGGCTAGCTACCTGCCTGTTATGCGCATTCCTTTTTAAGTCACTTGCCCAGTATGCAAATAGGAACTTTTGATTTTTGTCATTTGCTCCTGATCAATGACTACAGCCAGGCAACTAGCATTTTCAGAATGAGGTCCACAGTAGCAGCCCCCATAAATTATTTCACAACACATTTACAAAGTCCTACTGCTGTAGAAAGCTGTAGATGTACATCAAATAGAAAAAGACACCTTTTCAAAAGGAAAAATATGGATTAATTATTTCTACACTTAGGATGTCCAGGAATAGGTCCAATAAAACAAACCTTTACACTGTATATTTGTTACTACAAAAAAAAAAAAAAAAAAAACTACTACACCTCCTAAAAACCAAGGCATGGTTTTATACAATAGCATGCACATTTACAGAACATCACTAAAATAAAGCCAGATTTCCCTGAGGTGGCAAAGACCCTGTAAACTATTTTTAGAATGCAAATAGTTGGACGTATTAGAGGTATAGAAATGGATCTTGCCCCCCCCCCCCCCCCCCCAAAAAAAGCTAAAATTCTAGTCTCAGAAGCAGCATTTCATCAAGTCACAGGCTGCGTTTTCCAGGGTACTGAAATGACATGAAGGGAAACTAAATTGGCTCAGCTTTACTGCTCTGGTGCTAGTATAAGATCTGAGAGTCAAAGAATGTTTGTTGCTAGTAAAAATGTTCTTCCACGTGTGCATTTGTGTCAGTTTTATAATAGCGAAGGCTGGAATCCAAATCTGAAGCATAAAACGGCAATAGATGTGGCACTGTTCTGATGGCTAATGTAGAGACAGCAATAAAAAAAAATCCCCCCCAACACACACCCACACACATTGACACATGGATTTTCCAACATAGCTTGGGTATTGGAACACTTAGTTAGGGAATTCCACCCCCCATTTCTCATATTACATAGCTTGAGCTTTGTTTACAATTTATTTGCCAGAGCCAAACCAAAAGATAAAAAGGTTGAAAGATCTGGAATTAATCTTTCTAGGCCAGACTCCTGAATTTTAATAGTCTCTTCACAAAGGAAAATGGATTTCTTCAAGGATTTACGTGAAAGGACTTGCCTGTGAAAGTAAATATTGTTGCGTTCATTTGCTGTATGCATATAGCAAATATTAACCAACTGGAACTAAGAATTATAGGTTTGAAAAAGAGCATTACACTGACAATAAGTAGATGGATATCGCCTGCCTTTCTGAAAATTGGAGTATTTGGAATTAAAATAAAGCCAAGTGTAAACAGTCTGACTGAAAGTGGTGCAGCTGCTGAAAATTGAGTGCAAACATCTGTTATTCATCAGGCCTCTTGGATGAGAGGGAAGGGGAGAAAAACATATTTAAGATTCATAGGGTATTATGTGCATAACATATGTAATGTAAACAAAGCACAGAAGAAAAAGGGGAATTCTTACCGGCTTGGTTAACTAGAGGGTCCATTGAGGGAGGCTTGCCAAGTCCCGGGCGCAGACCTGATGTAGCACTTGTGCCGGGAGTCGGTACATCACTACGAGGAGTTGGCGTGCTCGATTTCAGAACAGGCGTGCTGGCTTTTTCATGCTAGTATCATTAAACAAATTAAATGAGTATTATTTTTAATCCAGGCCATATTACACAATTTATCACAACAGCAGCTGGGATACTGGGCATCTACTACTTGCTCCTTCAGCCAATTTTAATAAATCCACACAATGTTGACAGCATTAACTTGTGAGAAAGAAATGTTGACCTTTAATTCTTCTGCCAAAATGAAAACTCAGATCCGTAGAAAGAGTTACAGAGTTTTCTAGCTACATCGGCACAGTGATGGTTTCATTCTAATTTCTAAGTCTGCATACAATTTCCTTAATATGGTGTTTTCACTGAGCTTGACAAATTAAGAACTATCTGGCTCAAAATCACACTCTACATGCAATGCCCTTACAATTGGCCTATTAAGCTTGGTGGAAAATGAAGTTCTCATGAAACTGCCATCACTTAATACATTACCATGGAAAATGAGCCACATTAAAAATGAAGGAGTCTGGCCCTGTTCTTTCATTTATAATAGAAGTATGGCTTAAAAAAAAAATTCTGCATCTGTCCCCTGCCGCCTCCACACTGAGAACTGAGCAATCAAAGATTGCTGATCACTTGGGTTCTTGGTCTTCAGAGAGCTGTGACCATCAGCCACCGGCGCTCTGCTTTGCCCCTCCAGCGCTCACTAGAGCGCTGGGCTGTGGAGGGGCAGGCTCAGGCGAATCGCTGGCAGGCTGAGCCAGGTGCTGGTCCAGGCTTCTTGGTGGATCATGACCATATGGTCCCAATCTTTTCAAGGCCTGGAACGGTTCTGTGATGCCTGCTGTTGGCTGAAAACAGGTCAAAGGAATGCAGAACGAACTGTACTCCTGAGATCCATAGGAGAAGGTAAAGCCAGAAGAGCTTTGGCTATACTTCTCCTTTAAGGTCACTGGCAGATCATCACTAAAGGCAACTGTGACTACAATATTCTTTCAATCTGAAGCTATCCGCTCCAGTATCCCTACCTGACCACAAGATACGCTTAGTCTTCTGGGACAAATGATGCCCAGTGTCATTCAACCTAAAACGTTAAGCATGCTGTGAGAGCAGGACATCATGCATCATCATCCACAGTGTACTGGTGCAGACAGGATGGGAGGGGGTAGCACAGAATTGAAAAGTGGACTTTAAATAACAAAAAAAAAAAAAACCAAACATAGGTACAGTATGCATTTAGGTATCCTAAAACACACTGTGGGACATTTATCAAGCATATTAGGGACACAATTAGCCACAAATCAGACTGACCCCTCCTTCAGTAAAGTTTCTGAGATAGGTTTATAGTGTATTTGCGACCCTTGCTCCCAAATTTTTTTGGGGGAAAAGTGCGACAGTTTGCGAAGGTCTGTGACAGATTTTCATTCTAAACAGATGCACATTTAAGTAGTAGCAGGGTCAGGGGTTTCTATTGTAGGGCTACTTCAAAGCCACTGAGGCAGGAATTCATGATAAGCTACAACCTTGTGGTGAATCTATAGCACAGTGTCTCACTGCTCCAGTTTAGCACTGCCTTGTTGTGACAGAATGGCTGAACGTCCCCCATGAAACCTTACTCTATATAGAGTTATGTTCCAGGTATTCATGTTACAAAACAAAGGACTATAGACTCAATTTAAAAAAGGTCACAGCTGTCAGAATACAACAATGCAGCGGGGGGAGATACCTGCATCCACATCCCTTAAGTGGATGTGGGGATCTCTGAGGGTTTATTTTTTCTGCAGTCTGCTAGTTGAAAAAAAATAAAAAACTGCGTGTATACCCAGATTTACTCAACTCTATGCTGCAGCACTGTTGTGATGCTGTAGAGGCTCCATGTTAGCTCTAAGACTGGAAACTAAATTACATGACCACCGATTGCTCAATTCATGGTCTACTCAGAGGAGAGCAGTGACCATCAATCATCACTCTCCACTCTGTTCCTCTAGTGCTCACTGGAGCATTGGGCTGGAGAGGGAGCAGTCATAGCTGCCTCCAGCTCTCAGCCATGCAACAAAAGGCAGAGCCAGCATCTGGGTGTATCCTGACATTCTCAGGATTCTTCCAGAGCATCAGCCTATAGAAAGAAACCGTTCGCTATAATCTGTCTCTGGGTAACAGGAGAGTGAAAATGGTAATCCTGTAACTCAAAAAAAAAAAAAACCAAAAAAAAAAAAACCAAAAAAAAAAAACCAAAAAAAAAAAAAAAACAACGACTTCTTTTAAAGCTAAATTCCAGGATAATTTTAATGGAGAGATTACTTGCTTACAGCTGTGGACAATGTCAGACTGTATTTGATTTGCACAAGCATCTTTCCCACAGCTGATCGCAAACACCAGGCCTTACCCACCACAGAAGTATGCTAATCCGGACAGCATTTGGCTATATACAGCAGTGTGAATGAACCCTATAAAATTATAGCACTATAATTGAGTCTCTCTAAAGTAGGTTATGAAGAAATGTTCTATTGCGTCAACAGTAATGAGCTGGCAAAAACATTAAAGTGAACCTGTGCCCAGATCATGCACAATAAAGTATTCACATATTAACAAAAATGGTAAACAAACTTTAAATCAAACCCCTCATTTATTTGTAAGCATTTGGAGAAATATAATTTTCAATGTTTAAACACAGTTATTGAAATCTTAGCCCTTTTACATTGCAGTAGAATCTTGGCAGGTTTCCACCCCTCTGAAGCCTGGTTTTAGAAGGTGAACAGCTTCTGGTTATTTACAGAGTCTTCCTAATCTGAGGATTTTGAGATTGAACATCTTTACATTAAAAGCACCTAGAAGGGTTAGGGGTAGCTTGTTTTGAAGATATTTTAATTTACTGCTTGTTAAGAAAGGTTTAAAGGACTGATTCACATGGGTGTATTCCTCCTTAGAGTAAGCATCCTACACATTTTGGTTCCCAGGAACCCCTGCTGCTGCGTACAGCTGCTCACAAACATGAATGGCTATAGACAGGTGTATGCAGGCACGTGCTGCTTCTTGCGTAAACTCAAGAGCGCAGACTTGCACCAAATTACACAGCACATTTATGCCATAAGGAGGGATACGCCCTAAATAGTTTAATGCCCAAAGTGCAAGAGCACAGGTACCCTTTAAACTATTACACTCTCCCCAATTGAAAGTCTGTTTGGTGTGTTGATGGAGCATGCCCCTATAGCCCAGCAGCACGAGATGCAAAATAGATAAGGCCACACCCACAAAACTCTAGGAAAAGCAATTCTAGCACTTGGTACTCAACATTATGGTAGCAATTGAAACTTGCATCATCTTATCTCTAGAATAATAGGCTTTAAAAATGTCCTGTGTATAGACCTGCACGGTAACAAAAGGAAATTAAACCTTTATCACGGGTAACACCACTTATGGCTTCATTCAATTGAAATACTTAAATGGACCGAGGGATGCAAAAACAGACACCTATGACTTAAAACTAGTTTGACATTCCTGCCATAGTCCCACACATTCAGATAGTCTAATTACCTTATATTTGCATGAGAGGAATCAATCCATAGTTTTCAGCTGTCAGAATGAGGTCCATAACTGACACAGTTAGTTCTTTTGTTTACACATTAAAAAAGAAAGATACATTTCTATGTCCAGCTGTTAGCATGCATTGTTCCATGGAATGTTACTGCATTACCTACCAGGCTCATTTCTTTAGATTTCAAGGATGTTGAGCTACCTGAAGATGCAGTGGAGGCTGGGCTACTAGAAGCATCTTTCTTCATTAATCGGCTCTTATCAATACCATTCTCCCGCGGTGAGTGAGCTGGGCTTGCTCTTGGAGAAGATGGATCCTAAGCATGTGCAAACAAAAACACTGCTCAGATGTGGTTGAAAACAATAGGATGCATGCCAATTTGTTTCAGATTTAGTGAAATTTGATGAGCTGCTGCAAAGAGCAGCAGCCCAATTGAAAAGCAGGGTTCGGTTTTAAAGTTATAGAATTAAAGTCAATATTTACCAACAATACCGATACCTTAAATTGCATCTAAGCTCCCAAAAATGGCTGCATTAAGTTATTTTCATCTGGGGATCCTGTGACAAACATTTCCTAACACTATAGTGGCTACACCAATGGTTGCCACCCAGTCTAAACTGCAAATGTGTCTACTTTGTACACCTCTATTATTAACACTGAGGATGGGAAGATAGATGACATAGTTTGTATGTTCTTTCAGATCAGCTCACAGGAAGAGACACTGGCAAACAGGACACTTTTTTTTTAGAAGGGTACTTGCTAAAAAATAAAAAAACGAATAAAGTCCCCCCATCTAAAAGGACCAATAGGCTGCAATGTATTTTTTTTTTTATACTTTGGTTTAGTTATCTTTTATAAAGAAAACTGACGCAAAAGACATCAGAAGTGCCACTGCTAATCTCTATATATAGCACAGTAGTGAACACACCCAAAACTAACAGGTTAAAATGCTTGTAAACCCCGAGTGCTCACTCAATCCCGTGCTGTGCTCATCTGTAGCAGCTCTCCCCACTCACAGGCTTTGCTGAGGCAACAAAAGCCACTGGTTCCTGCTGCTGGCAGTCAAATCTTACATTCTGTGAACGCCAATTGTCCTCACCATGCAAGCAGTAATTTGGCCTTGGGTATTTGGGAGTAATAGCTGGTAAATACCAGTCCCAAACATTAGGTTCAGCAAACATCTAACCTCCAGTTTTCTGTGCATGCTGGTTGCAGTTTTTTAGCAAATACTTAACATATTTAACCAAAAGCTAACGCTAAGCAAGCCTGTTGAAGCCTGCTAAAACCTTACATAAAACTACAGCTGTCTATTATTAAGATCTGTAACATCTACAACCAGAAGAAAAACCACCAGATTATAGTTGAAGGGCACTTAGCATAAGCAAGGGTGCTTAAGGGTCTCATGAATGCTACATGAAACTTGTCAAGTGCTTCTTAAATGTTTACAAAGCAATGCTGACAAATGTACACAAGACCTTTCACAGTGCTGTAACAAACTGTCAAATCTGAAAGGGGGGGACGAAGCCTTACCTCATTTGACACATCAACAACTAGATTCGTCATCGCTTTTGTCCCCGTCGCTGTCCTGTAATTAATAGGTACATTTGCATTCAATATATAGAAATAACTTACTAGGAGAAAACTGGCTAGTAAGAAAAAAAAAGAAAAATGTATTTCACAAATCACAAGATTTTAACACCTCCAATTAAATCAGCTCTGCAAAACCAATACAGCAACACTTTCATAGGCATAGAAATGAAGGTGAAAAAAAAAAAAAGCAAGGAAATTGGCAAACTTCCACATATAAGAAGGAATCTTGAGGATATTTCAAAGGTTCTAGAAATCTGACCCCTGCTGTTGTAGCATGCATTGTAATCTGCATCAGGGGTTGTGAAACTACTGTAAATGATTGCACTTCAAACAGGAAAACCAAGACTGTTAACAGTGTCTGGCTTTCACAAAGACAAACAGGAAATAACTATGCTTTGTGAGACAGGGTTATCAAAAGGGCTAGAATACATCTCTTAAGTAGGCTGCCAACATTTTTTTTTTTTTTTTTTTTTTTTTTTTACACTTCTTTTCTTACTACTGCTTACCAAGGCATGAACCAAAGAATTAAGCAGTATACCACATATGAAATATTCAAAAGACATAGGCAAGTCTATTTAAAGCAAACATGTCACTAGTAATTGCAAATAAACGATACAGAAAAGAAAAGCAGTTACACCCATCTACCTGTGTCCTGACGTGCAGTAGAGGTCAGCAGGAAGAACCACAGAGCTGCGGGGGAAACAGGAGACTGACACTCCCTAAGTGCCTGTTTACCAGCAGACTTGGACATTTGTACAACTGCTACAAAACCTACTGCTGTGAGATGCCACTATGTGCAAATGTGGCTTTACTCCAAAGGAATACTAGATGGGAACAATTATCCACTGCACAGCTGATTTTCTAATACACTATTCTGCTCTAATTATCTGCAATATACACAAGCACATAAAACTTCCTAAAACCCCTCCTACATACCAAAATCAAGATTAAGTATTTAAAGGGGAAAGTGAACGTCCCTTTAAGGGGGGGTTCCTTATCTGTAAGCCACATTTAAAGAAAACCTGTAGCAAGATAAACATGTGGGCTGCCACATAAAGACCTTACTTTATTAAAATAAAAGTTACCTGACCAACATGCTGATGCTAGGACTGCAATAAATTGAGTCACCAATACAGGACATAGATGGAAATCAGGTGTTCTGAGTGCCCTTTATCATGACCTACTGCATACTTGTTCTTGATCAGCAATTCTTAAAGCAATGAAGCTTGTAACAGTCAAACAACTGGCATTTTCAGGAAATGGTCAGCCTCAGTGAGACCGAAGGATGACCGGACACTTTTTTCCTCCCAAATATTGCAATATTAAAATGCATCATTGTCTGGAACTCACTGCAATGCTCTCCTTCACACAAATGACTGTGATGCATTAGTGGCGGCAAAGTTGTTTTTATTTTTCTCCACAAAAAAAGCAAATTAGCAGCTTAAACTTGCACAAAGATATATCAACATCTTGGCCTAAGTGCAACTTAAACGCAAGATAGTCTGGCATGTAAATGCTTATGTACTTGTAATAAAGTACTTTGAGCCTAACTGTCAAACCCATTGAATATCTTGTGAAAAAAGTTCAGACCTTCAATGAACAATCCTTAAAATTACACCTATTAGTCATGGTCATGAAAGTAAGCAACTCTAGGTGTCAACCAGTAACAACAATGCTACTATTTATAATGAAAAATAGCCATTTCAAGCAATTTTAAGCTGCCTTCGAGAGCAGTTAACTGGATGGAAGACCTCTCACAAGCATGAAATTGTTGCATGATCAAGCCTAAACCTCCTATAATAGGTGACTGCCATCTGAAATTCATGGGTAGGCTTTAGGGACCGGAATTGTGAGGCATTAAAGCATTTACAAATCTGGAAATGGCAAATACATGACAATGTAATGACCACCTTCCAACAAGCTATAAAATTAATATATAATATATATATATATATATATATATATATATATATATATATATATATATATATATATATATATATATATATATATATATATATAATATATATATATATATATATATATATATATATACAATATTTCCTACAACTGCTTTGAGAACATAAAAAGTCACTGAGGGAATTTACTAAGGCTAGATCAGCTGTACATGGCAATCAGTTTCGAACTTTCATTTTTAAAGCTTAACTGAACAAGCTGAGGGTAGATGTTAATTGGTTACTATACACAGCTTCTCCAAGTTCTATTTGCTCTGGTTATAGTAAATTCCCTCTTCTGTAGATAGCTGTGAACATAAGAATATTCTCATACACTTTCAGATTTTAACTCAAAACCTGGAGGAAATAGCGTCAGGTGGCGAGAAAAAAACAAAACAAAAAACACCTCTCTCCAATCATGATCATGATATTTGCTTCCAGATAAACCTGACCCGGAGGGGTGTCTGCATCCATCTGTTTGAAATTGTACTATAGGGTCCTGTTCACATAAATGCACTGTAGTAAAGAAAATAACATTGTGCAATTTACCACAACTCGTGTATGTGTGTTGCCATTCATTTTGACTAGCAGCCCAACACAAAACACACCTGTACTACAGCACACCACAACTCAAAATGTGCACAAAGCTACTTCCTCTACATTAAGCCCCATTCAAAATGAAAGATTTTGTGGTGTATGTGGTACTGCAGGGTATGATGTGAACAGTCCTCAAGATCTCTTGACGGTCTTGCTTAACAAAATCATCTTCTGATCTCGAATTGTCTTTTCTAAAACACCGACAAATATGCAATGCTATCTTAAAGATATTTAGCAAAATTGGTTTGGAATAGGACTTTTAAGGCACAGATATAAGTATACTGATACATAATCCATTTGGTTTGTGTGTATTTTTCTCATTTTCCCTGAAAAGAATCTAAACACGTCAGAATATGAGAAACCTGTACTAAAATTACATTATGATCACGATTATACCTGTTCTCTTGTTTTTATGTGATTTTAATGAGATTTGTTGAATAGAATTTGTATAAGTTTTATACTTTGTGTACTAATATCTGTGCCTTTAAAGTCCCATTCCACCACCATGGAAACTCCTCCTCAACTACCGCACACACTGGATAAAATGTTGTTCCTACCTCAAACGTTTCAAACCCAACTCTTATCTAAGCATCCTTGTATACAAGCCTCATTACAAGCCTGGTACGACCTCTTAATTTCTAACAAGTCAGACATAGATACTAAACGAATCCCTACACCAATTTCCACTTTACACTTCATCACTCCCAATCTAAATCTGATTCAATGGGAAAATCGAGGCATATCCCATATTCAAGACATATACACAAACCATAATTTAGACTCATTTTCCATTCTCCAGAAGAAATTCCACCTCCATGACAAGGAAAACTTTACTTATATGTGAATAGCTCACTCCACACAAAATAAATATACCATTCGAACTCACAAACCCTGCTACCGCACACCAATTCTTTCATAAGACACAATATCCAAAGAAAGGAACCTCGATCTTCTACACGCTCATAACCAAAGCACAGTTTACACTTCACACTACCTCTCTAACCAATTGGGAGAAAATTCTCCTTCAGCCAATATGCCCACACACCTGGGAAAGAACCTTCAACATCACCTATAAAGCTTCTAAATTTAGTTCCCACTGGGAAACATGCATGAAAAATTTTACACCAGTGGTATTTAACGCCTGTTAAACTCGCGCTATATTACCCTCAACACTCAGCTACATGCTGGAGACATTGTGGAGAAACAGGATCAACTATACATTTACTTTGGACATGTAAATCCCTCAAATCCTACTGGAACAAAGTCTTTCAATTGATCTCCTCAATCACAGGAGTCCCGGGGACCCCAAATCACTCTCTTGCTCTCCTACACATAGGAATAGACAAATTCCCTACAGACGCACGTACTATCATTATCCACATATTAGCAGCGACTAAAATCAATATCACTAAACTGTGGAAATCCACTAAAAATCCCTCTCTTTTAGCTCTCATATCCGACCTTAACCTCCAATGTGAGATGGAAAGAAGAACAGCTTTCCATAATTCTTCACACCAGAAATTCAAATTTCAATGGTCTCGATGGTTACAAAACCCAAATTGTTACGTAAAAGAACTACAAAATAATTCTACTCTATGACCTAAGCACTTGACTGGTGCCCTCTTCTTCCCCCCCTTCCCCCCATTACCCCTCTCCAATATTAACCTCACTTTTACTCCAACATGGTTCACATTATCCTAAGCATATCTCTCATGTAAGCGCGACTTAAGTTTACAACCTCCCCAGCCAATTGGTGGGGACCCTTCTTACATATACCGACTGTTATATCTGAATGTGAATCTCATTCACGTTAACGTTAATGTACATTGTTTTGTATGTTGAAAATCCTTTAATAAAAACATTTGAATATAAAGTCCTATTCCAAACTGATTTTGCCAAATACGTCCAACTGAGGAAGTGACACGGTTCATCTTGGGGGTTTAAAATGCTCACTGCTATTGTATATTTGAAAAAGTATTCTCTAAAAATAATATTTGGAAAGCATAGTTTAAGGATGTTGAACATGAAGAGACTTACATAGTGGCTAGAGTCCTTATCATCCACTTTCCTCTTTTTAAGGTCATTAGAATACTCTGGGCCATTTCTTCGTTTATCTGTGCCTCGCAGGCTGTCAGAAACCAACAGAGAGTTACTCTGTAAAAACAAAAAGAAAAAACCAAGCACGTTAAAACATTTACAAGCTGCATTTCCGTGGTAAACCAAAAGCCTTAAGAAGATGCCATAATAAGATGAACAGGTGTGAACATTTAAGACCATAATCACTTTGTTCGTATACAAGTATAATACATTTTGGCTGTCACAAATGGAAAAAACTAAGAAATTTAGCAGATTAGTTCTTAATAAAAGTTAGTCTATATATGCATCAAAAAAAAGTTCTGCATACACATTAAAATATTTACT